TGACTGGCTTCAACTGCACCCTGCACGGGTCGGCGTCGTAGGCTGAGGTACAATTCTCAGTGATCAGAGTCTGTGCTCAGAAAGGACCTGTTTTCGGTTCTAGACTACTTTCCCCAGCCGAAGGGAGGGGACGCTGGTTGTCCACTCCTTGACGCTTTTCCGCGATTTTTTTTTAGAAAGCATTAGCGATAGAGATATGAAAGTTGGTAAACATGACCTTCGATTCAAGCCGAATGGCGTGAAAATAGTCACATTTTCCGTTCACTGATCTTTTCCTCATAAGTGAGCCTCGGCGAGGCTAAAAATGGTCGTAACTTTGCAGGAGTTAGCTTTGACGTAGACTTCACCCGGTGTCAATTCTCAAGTTGACCGTTGAACTGATAAGTAGTGCCGTTTAGGGTTTAGGGTCAACCGCTGACTTTAGACTGTGAACTGACCTTAGAGCCTAGAGGTGACAGGATGACCTGAGACCTAAAAGTTTTTGTCTCGTTATTTCTTCTTGTGGCAACACAATGCCCATTTATTTCTTTTGTCAAAGCTCTAGCTCAGTTAGCGGGACATCGGCGAGGGATTTTTATCTATCATAATGTTGTCCAGTTCCCCCCACCCTCCCCCCCCCAATCTCCCGTGCCAGCTGGGCCGGATATATCAATACCTATGTAGATGACCGATGGGCTCGGAACCCAGTGAGTGCTAATTTTCTGCCCAACATAATCCATATTCAGGCTTGTTGTGCGAGTCCAACTGAGAAAACCAAAACCTCTATCTTCTCGCCCCACCAAAAGCGTTCACTTGACTGGGCCTGGCCACTGGCCAGGACTGACCAAATACACTCGTCTCGCTGCGCGGAGCTGCTTCGTATTACAGCGACACCTACAGTAAATGTTCACCCCTTGGCAGCGCCATCTACAGTAGATGGCGGTGCAGCAGACGGCAGGACACCGAGGAAACCAAGCTCCTAGTTCACGTCTCTCCCGCTAGGTGGTCATCAGCTTTTTTACGCCGGACAAGTGTCCTACGGAGAAATAGACTGGCTGTCTACCTGAGCCGCGCGAAGTGTAGGGAAAGGGTTTCATGCGCCTTTCCTAAGAATTTTGTCTGAATTTCTACAAAAAGGTATTTGCGGCTTGCAAATATTTTTTTTTCACACACATGAATACGATGTCAATTGTCAACCCTACTTGACATGAGGTCAGGTCAGGTCACTTAACCCGCGCCCGGCTGGGGGTCCTGGATTTCCACGCCCTGCTGGGGGGGGGGGGTGTTTGAACACCCTCCCTTGTAACTCGGCTCCTGGGCCACGTAGCGATACGCGGAAGGCGGCGTTCGAAAGAGCGTAAAAAATAATGACGAAATCACTTCGGTCAATTTTTTGGTCAGGTCAAAGGTCAGGTCACCAGAGGTCATTGAAGGCAAAATTTCGCCGATTTCCAGGTCGAATGTCGAAAATTTCCAAGAAGCCCACGCATAACTCGGGAACTAATAGAGCTACAGCGCCGCGGAAAAGCGCATTCGATAGCCCTATTAACGCCCTTTCTGAGTAATCTTCTCAGATTTGACCTAACGTCAACGGTTTTGCCTGCAGGGGGCAAAAACTGCAAAAATAGCCGATTTTTTTCTAAAACAGTTTTTCTGCAATAACTTTTGACCCAAGCCTTGTACGAGCTTACTGTTACCGGCATCGTGTTCCTCTCGTCAAGACGCATCGAATGAACTATAACTTGACCTTGAAAGGTCAACTTGAAAATTTGACCTCAGGTCAAGGTCATGACCTGACCGGAAAGGGTCATGTTGCATATCAGTCGATCCGTATCGTCGAGCTGAACACATCTAAGGCGTTTTCATCGCTCTAGCATGCCTCTATCAAAAGTTATTTGCGAAAAACTGTTAGATACCATTCGTGACCTAAGATGACCTCAGGGCATAAACAAGGGTCACGGACACCATTTTCAAGTTCAGTGCGTCTAAACCACTTGTAATTCGGTGTTTGGGAGTGTTTATAATGTCTTTCATCCAAAAGAGGCGCATTTCAATTTTCTCCCATTGACTTATAATGGGGAGGTCGCAAAATTGACCTGACCTTAGGTCACCGATATCAAAATTCTGAGATATACATTTTGTACGTGCTATTGCTCTTAGCAATCGCTGAAAGTTTCAAAGCGATCGGTCACTCGGTGTAGCTATGACAGACATTGAAAGTTTTTATGAGGTGAGGTCACTTCAAGTGACCTGGTGACCTGACCTTGAATGACCTTGGTCTGAAAATTTCACAACATGTGTAGAATTGATGTATGATAAGGTGTACCAAAAACAGCGGCGCTCGGCGCCGCCGTTTTTGAGATATTCGCGAAAAACCACAAGGGGGGGGGTGTTCAAACACCCCCCCCCCCCCCAGCAGGGCGCGGGTTAAGTGACCTCACAAAATAAGATGAAATGCTCGTTTCAGTCAAAAACTGAATAATTTCATTACACCATTAACTTTGGTTACGAATGACGTGCACGAATCGTATACCTATCTGCTTTTTACATTGATGATCCAGGGTCAGGACAAATGAGAAACTCCTCGTTGTAGATTGATCGATAACAAAATGATGCTCTGCCTCTTTCGGGTAAAAAACATGGTAGCGTGGTATCCCTAACAAGGTGTTTAATGAGCATTGAATTGAAATATTGCGCATTAACCCGCGCCCTGCTGGGGGGGGGGTGTTTGAACACCCCCCCCTTGTGGTTTTTCGCGAATATCTCAAAAACGGCGGCGCGGAGCGCCGCCGTTTTTGGTACACCTTATCATACATCAATTCTACACATGTTGTGAAAATTTCAGACCAAGGTCATTCAAGGTCAGGTCACCAGGTCACTTGAAGTGACCTCACCTCATAAAAAGTTTCAATGTCTGTCATAGCTACACCGAGTGACCGATCGCTTTGAAACTTTCAGCGATTGCTAAGAGCAATAGCATGTACAAAATGTATATCTCAGAATTTTGATATCGATGACCTAAGGTCAGGTCAATTTTGCGACCTCCCCATTATAAGTCAATGGGAGAAAATTGAAATGCGCCTCTTTTGAACGAAAGACATTATAAACACTCCCAAACACTGAATTACAAGTGGTTTAGACACACTGAACATGAAAATGGTGTCCGTGACCCCTGTTTATGCCCTGAGGTCATCTTAGGTCACGAATGGTATCTAACAGTTTTTCGCAAATAACTTTTGATAGAGGCATGCTAGAGCGATGAAAACGCCTTAGATGTGTTCAGCTCGACGATACGGATCGACTGATATGCAATATGACCCTTTCCGGTCAGGTCATGACCTTGACCTGAGGTCAAATTTTCAAGTTGACCTTTCAAGGTCAAGTTATCGATCATTCGATGCGTCTTGACGAGAGGAACACGATGCCGGTAAAAGTAAGCTCGTACAAGGCTTGGATCAAAAGTTATTGCAGAAAAACTGTTTCCGAAAAAATCGGCTATTTTTGCAGTTTTTGCCCCCTGCAGGCAAAACCGTTGACGTTAGGTCAAATCTGAGAGAATTACTCAGAAAGGGCGTTAATAGGGCTATCGAATGCGCTTTTCCGCGGCGCTGTAGCTCTATTGGTTCCCGAGTTATGCGTTGGCTTCTTGGAAATTGTCGACATTCGACCTGGAAATCGGCGAAATTTTGCCTTCAATGACCTCTGGTGACCTGACCTTTGACCTGACCAAAAAATTGACCGAAGTGATTTCCTCATAATTTTTGACGCTCTTTCGAACGCCGCCTTCCGCGTATCGCTACGTGGCCCAGGAGCCGAGTTAGAAGGGGGGGTGTTCAAACACCCCCCCCAGCAGGGCGTGGAAATCCAGGACCCCCAGCTGGGCGCGGGTTAACTAACCGCTTTAACTTTAGGTATCTCCGTTTTGCTAGTTCGTGAAATGGTAACCTTTTTCGACAAAAGTAAAATTTTGACAATGACAGGAATGAGCGGGGAAAATCATGATATTCTAATATCCAACAGCATAAGGTTTTTCTAGATCCCCACATCCAATTTTCTGGTCATGTAGAACTTGACTCAGATCAAATTAACAGCTTATCTTTTACAGTTTAAGGCATATTATTTGACTCTTGTTACAAGAAAACCACAATGGTAGTTAGATCCATATCTTACTAATTTTTCATAAAAATTTGTTACTCAAGTGCCTAAATACCTACGCTTCCAGCAAAACGTTTTGATTGGTTTTTCCTCATTAGTCCGAACCGCCACCTGAAACCAACCAGCGATCCTAAATATTATGTTACGCCTTTTCTAAATTTCTTCTCATTCTTTAGGATGAGAGTAAGACTTAGCTTGTAAGAGGGTGTATAGCTAGCAGCTAGCACCTAATCCTAGATTTATATTTTTAAATGATTCCTTAATACTATGATGGAGGAAATCCATTTCGCAAAATCGGCTGAACTTGTGCCATGGAAACGTAGCCATTATTTTTCAACGGTCAATAGCATACGTATACCTATTCTAACTGGTTCTCATTTACCTACCCTTCCGATTACGTCGTGACCTCGACTGGTATCAAATTTATTATTTAACAGCTTATCTTTTACAGTTTAATCATATTATTTCTCAATTTTGTCAACAAGAAAACCAGCTAATACTGACAACCACAAACGATTAATTATGTCGTGACGTACTAACTAGACAAAATGCCGCCTGCACGTCAACTTTGAACAATCATTTGTCGTTTGGCTGCGAGGTTAACTCGTCGCGCCATCGCAACGTTAATTATAATTCTGAGGCAACTATTTTGGACGCTTCTGTGCGCTCTTAAAAATCAATTATTTGCTCCAAAATCCCTTTATGACACACGTCCCCGAAAAGCTTTTAGCTTTTATATACTTGAAAATCGGAACAGAATTACCCAGAAAAGTTAGCCTGTCACTAAGTCTGCACTGCGACCAACCCCGGGGAACTCCTGTTGTGACCAGCCCAGCGGGTGTCCCGCTCTGCGGGCGGAGACTCACCTGTCTCAGGCGAGAGCAGTCCGATCCCCCGCCGCTGCAGCCCGCAGCGCTCGCACAAGTTGCAGTCGCGTCCACTCGCCACCGACAATCTGGGGGACTGGGCCAAACTCCGGCAACGCAGAACGCCAGCGCGCAGCGCGGCGCCCTGCAAAAAGCCCACAAAAAAACGTCTAGACGACACACCAACGCCCTGTTTTTGCAACCGTTTTTGCCACCTGCACTGACGCACCGGTCAAGGCTATTTTTTGTTGCTGTCTGGTCTGGGCGCCAGTCGGCGGCGGCTAGGCGGCGACTTTCGTCATTAGATCGGCCAGGCCGACGGCAAAAAGCACCAGCACCCCCGCTCCCCGCGACCCGGCGGGCTCGCTAATGATTCACTGGGGTTCCGGCCGACTCGACGCACCTACACGAATGCCGCCCGCGCCAGACAGCGCAGCCAGTCTTAGTCAGACGGTGAAGTTTTTTTATCATCAGTCGATGCTTTTTTACTCTCCCGGTGGAGTTTTTACCAGACGGCGGCGGCAAGCCAATCCCGACCGGACGGGAACAGACGTGACGTCATCGTCACAACAAAAACCGGCGGCTCTTGTGTAGTGTCTAGACATGGTGACCTTGACCATGACCTTGGCCGCCACACGGGCGCGGCCGGTGGGTGGTGGCAGTGTCACATTACCTGATCAGAACAGGGCCGAGAACTTAGAGCAAGGACTGCAGTCATCAGCTACAGTCAAGTTAAAATTTAAATGACAGGCTTGGATCAATTTGCATTTAGCATGACTATGGGTAGAAATCGCAGTCACTTATGTGGCCACATGGCAATGGCAAATGAGACTATGTATTATAGGTAAATGGTTGAAGCCGTCATGCAAAACTACTTTAATGATCGCAATACCGACGATCAGCTGTCAATTACTTTTGTTCCGCCTATTACATTCCATTCAGCTCCCGGCGGCGAGCGCTCTTTCTTCAATACTGTACCGCCGAGCACTCACGCAGTGCGGCACAGTATACCACCGCAGGCATTTACCAGTACTGCATTTGCAGACTGCGTGGATCGTAACCCACATATTACACGATGCTTTGGAATGAACGAAGGTGATGAGATGGTGGGTGAAAGGTGGGAGGTAGGCAAACCCATCAAAAGGCTAGAATGGAAGAGGTGTTAGCTGTTAAATTGAGACGTGACGAGGAGTCAGAGAGGAAAACGTAAGGAATCATCATTCAAAAGAAGATATTCGCATTCATATTCCCGATACATTCCATCACGCCTATAGAATGGACGCCATTTAATTGCGTCCCAGAAAAGCTATTTCTGGCACCTAAAAGCTGACTCGCCCCAAAATTGGTCCTCAGCACCTATTTGGTGGATACCAGCACCAATCATGGAAAATGACCTTAATTAGCTGTTTCTGGCACCTATTCATCGGTACGCCTTACTCTTTTTTCTGAATCTGGCACCTAAATGCTGAGCGTAGCACCAATCTAGTAGAAAAATGAACTACTGGCTGGTAGAATCATGTTGTTCTGGTATAATGACCCCTGGAGTCTAGCCTAAAGGTTGCCAGTGCAGCTACACTCTAAGACAGCCCCGTAGTGATCTCAGCATTGTATATGACGTTTAAGTAAGCAAATAATATTGATTTGTTCGAAAAAAAACAATGTCATTTAAATATTTAAAAGTATTTATTTGTAATGCTTAAAGGGAAACATTTTTGTGAGTAATTGTCTCGATTTTCACCATTAAAACGGGTATTGCATTTTTTGACGTCATCAAATAGCTCCAAAAAAGAAATGTAATGTTTTCATTCCGTTCAAGGCCGCTGAAGAAACGCGAGATCTTGCGTGGGACATTGTCCGTTGTTTGCCGCGCAGAGTTGTGCCGTGGTTGTGCCTTTTTCATCCGTTTCTTACTTATGTGTGCATGAAGCTTTGATTTTGTTTTTGGTTATTGTGTGGCCGGTCAGTCAAACGCCCCTGTAGAAACCGGATGCTGCGTTTGATCGTCGATCGAGATGGAGTCAGACGATGATTGCAGAAAGCTATTGAAAAGAGGGCCGGTTGCGTGGCATGTCTGTTCAGAGTTGACATTTTGCTTTACTCCAGTTTATGACCTGAGAGCCTGGCTGGAAGTGACGGATCCAAACTTTTCACGTTAAAATGGCTGAGGGTGCAATAATCTCTACATAGCGGGCTGGTATAGGAGCGTCTTGCTATGCTGCACCATAGCTGGCTAGTGATTCTCTTTTGGCTAGAAATGGCATTAATCATTATCTCCACTGGCGAAAATGGCACTTGACATCACCGAATGCAACGTTCATGTTTGTTAGGATACATAAAATCAGGAAGATTACGCGAATTAGGTAGGCAAACGTGGAATAAAATAGGTGCTGGATGTTTTGGTTTTGGTGCTGAATCAGCAAACAGCAAATACGGAGTTCAACTAGACGATCTGGCAACTTTAGGCTGTGTGGAAGCAATTAGGTGCCAGATTCAGATATTAGGGTCGAGTAAGCATTTTGGGGCTGATCAGCAATTAGGTGCCAGAAACAGCTTTTTAGGGACCAGAAACAAATATTCCCCCTATAGAATTGTGTGAATCTACGCTATTTGTTTCTTTATTCAGTTTCTTTAAAATACATTTCCTTAGAGAATAGTTTTATTAATATTATAATTCTTCTGAATTCAAAAGTACCCGTGAACTAGACTCGTTACACTTGTCCTTGGATGGCTGAAGGCGGCTTGTCCTGTTATACTTTCACCAAGGCTGTCTGGGTGCCACTTTTTGTGCACCTCTAAACCATGGGAGGTCTGGGCTATTTTCTATCGAAGGCTTGCTTAGTTGAAGTAATTGCTTTTTATAGTTCGTAAATATGGCATGCAGTATGCACTGCTAGCTTGGATGAAAAAAGTTATTGCAATAGCGTTGCCAATTATAAATGAGCCAGCTGTCACCTAGAAAAGCGATACCTAATTTTTGTAATCTGGCTTTTGTCAAGTATTGACTCATACACGTGTACCTATGTTTTTATTTGAATCGTTTTTTCATTGGTCATTGGTACATACTGATTATGTTTTGCGAAAACTTTCACACAAAGTTATATGAAACTGGTCAATATTTTATTTCACGCTACCTTCTGATTATGAGCAGGCATGGCCAACATTTATATAAATAGTAAAGATTCAAAAAAAATGTAGCACTTATAGTTTACCCTAATACAAGCTATAAAACATATGAACCAGTAAAACGCCTTTTGGGCGAAGAACGAGCGAGCGAGATAGTGAGCCCTGCACGTGCAGAAGGGCGAGAGGGTACTTCCAACGGGCTTGTGCAAAGCACCCTTCTAACCGGTCGCTAGCGGTGTACCAAATTTGAACGCAATCGGCCCAGCCGTTCCTGAGATCTGGAAGCGGCATTCTGCACGTGCGCACGTGCAAACGGGGTCCAAAATGACTTTTGCACGGCACCCTACTAACCGGTCCCCAACCGTGTACCAAATTTGAGCGCAATCGGCCCAGCCGTTCTCGAGATCTGGAAACGCCCCCTGCACGTGCGCACGTGCAGTAGCACCCTAACCGCAACACATGGGAATGCATTGCCTGGTGGGTGCCTGCCTGTATGCCAAGTTTCAGCGAAATCGCCCCAGTAATTACCGAGTTACTGAGATGGGAACAAATTTGGCACCTCTTATTGTTGTATTTTGCACGTGCAGTGGGGGTCACTCACATAGATGAAGAGTATCCGACCTTTGGTAGAAGGGGTGCAGCTACCCTATAAAAATGACCGCAAGACAATCGCTCAAGCCGCTGCTGAGATATGGGCCTCTCAAAATCATTACTTTTGCAAAACTGCTTGAACACCCTTGACTTTTCACGTGGCACGTGCCACGGCGGTCACTGGGATGTATCAAAAGTAGTCAATTACGGGGTAGAAGGGATGGGGCTACCCAGCAAAAAAGACCGCAGGCCATTCGGTCCAGCGGTTGCTGAGATATAAGCCTCTCAAAAGCGTTACAGGCCGGGCCGGGCCGGGCCGGGCCGCTCATACTGAGATTTTTCCGTTATATTGAAAAGACTTCGCTTCGCTCGCTGCGCTCGCTCGCTCGTAATAACTTTCCAGAATTCTTCAATAAACGATTGATTGTATTCCCCCGACTAATAAGTGGCTATCGGGAGGCATTCTGTTCCCGATGGCGACCTCCCGACCTCTCAATCACCTGGTGGAGCGTTCGCGCCATACTTTTTGCGGCGCCGCGCGTTTTTGTCATCAGACAGCGCTCGGCCGGCGGCCCAGACGCCAAAAAAGTTCTGTTCTTCATGGCCAAGGCCAACGATCTGTGGCGCGAGTGGCCGACGCTTCGGGAAGCTCCGAGAACACTGTTCTTACAGGGAACAGTAGTTCAGGATATGCAATAATTGATGTGTCACCGGTTGGCAATAGATCAGACGTTGCCACCGCGTAATGACGAAGTGATCGGAGTGAGCTCCTACTGATGTCGGGAGCGTTACGATCAGCTTCTGTAAACAACTAACTATTGCAACTAACTGCAGGCTTCCTCCGCTTCTTTCAGCGGTCGGTACCGTGGCCGGCGCCGGCAGAGGCACCCACCCCCGTGCCGCTGACCTCCTCAGCCCCGCTGGGCGGAGGGGGAGCACTGCTGACCGGTCAGCCGCCGCCGCAGGGCATCTTCAGCAGCTGGGTATCCATGGTGGCTGAACAGATGGGTCACACAGAGGTGCCCTATCCCTGGGTCACCGCAGAGGTCAGTTCGGTGGATTAATTGGTGCCGTGCAGCTTGCCTTTGCAAAAGGTCCGTTCCTGCTTAAGCCCGAATAATATGTATATACACTCGATGCATTTGTATTTGCTTCATTCCACGCACTCGCCAATTTATTGACTTTCAAGAGTAAATTATGTGAAGATGAATAGTTGCGCTTCTGGCAAAAAAGCAAACATTTTATGCATTCATGGCATCCCTCAGAAGCTTCTCACAGACAGCAAATTAATTATACCTACGTCTTGATTCAACATTCTCTGGATTCAGACTGGTTGTAACATGTAAAACATGACTCGATATCAAACGGACATATGCTTGTTTATTTTCAGATGAAGGTGAACCCGGAGCTCTCGGTCAGTCTGAACCGAGGTAAGTGTAGTTGTGACTTGTGATGTGGTATCAAATTGCCAGACCCTTCATTATAACCACTCAGATATGCACCTTTCCAGCAACATTTTGCTGTCATTAACAACCGGGATATTGTCCTCCACAACCGCAACTATGAGTGTCGTCTAATTGTCTTCAGTGATTCATAACCAAAGAGCATCAGCGCACTCCAAAAGGGCACCTTACACCCGTGCTGCCATGGTGTACCCCTGCAGCCATGGCCGTGCACGCGCAGCGCTCTGTGACGTCACAGTTCTC